AGCCTGACTAATGAATGACCAGACGAAATAATTTTGTAGTTAAACACACACATACTGCCTCATTTGGCCACACTTAAATTTGCATCTAAATTACTCCTATCAAACAAAAAAAGAAATTTGTGTTTCAGAGAGTAATCAGTCATTCATAAACTATACAAACTGCATTTTGCAGTGATATTGCTGAACAGTGCGCAAATTTTGGCTTGGGTGATTCACTTTTAGAAAAAGAAGCGCTTGCTGCTATTCGTGAAATTGGCTTTGCTGTTCGAATGATATCATTGCCAGAATCATTGCCGCGAACTTCTGATTTGATTTTCATGAATCTCATCACGCTGGAAGGTATTTTCACCCGTTTATCCATTTTTCGTTAAAATAATGCATTTATTTTTTCAATTCGCAGGATATAAGATAGATCTCTTTGAATGTTTGATTCATCGGGGTGATTAAGTAAACCGTGCGTGTATTATTATATCACGGTTATGCCATATGTTGAGTTTCTGCTAGCTCTGGGACACAGTGATGATTTAATATTCTGGGCTCTGAGATATAATGATGATTTGACATTCAATCTCTTTGTTTGCGTTATTGAAATGTTTCTTGAATACCTGTAAGTTCAGGGTTCCTTTGCATTGAACAGAATATGTAACTCGGACAGAATAAGAGAATTAGCAATATAGTGTTATCTATCGTTTATAAAATTTTTGGCAAATTGTATAGTAATTGTTTCTTATCATCATAATTTGCAAGAGATTTTGGATTTTAGCTAATCTGACTGTAATTAGTTATTATTTTGATGTTATCAGATCGTACGTACTGTATTGAATTGACACAACGTGGATGGCGCGTCGCATCAGATCGGCACGACAGTATGAACGGTGATTATCGACAACTCGATTTGCATACTCGTTATTTTGAAACGATTTATCAGTTGCTAAATGTAATATCACCGGAATTCAGAAATCAATTTGCTAATAAACTTAGCAATAAGCTCATTGCATTGAGCAATGGAGTTTCGGGTTTCAAAGGCACTTGAAAGCATATGAGTAAAGTTTTCCTACCTCACATGCACATAATGTGCATAGACATAGATACGCGGTTGACCCTTTATAATTACAATTGTTGTTCGGCTTGTAAATATATAATTATATTTCTGTTTGTTGTTTCGAATTTAAGCCGAGAACGAGGCATTTGATATGTTACAATAATAAACTAGAGAAATGATTAATGAACTCTAAAGTTCGAACATAAAAGCTAATAAAAGGTATTCTGAATCAGTGATTCATCTCGTTTTTTTCTTTGGGATGAGAAACATTACAAAGATTTAAATGTGCAAATATAACCGTGTTTTCACTACGATGATTTCATGACATTCATTGTCAAACTTGTGGTCATCGGATACAAAACAAACAGGTATTAGTATTATATTTCCCCTGAATGTTTATTTGAAGCTATCTGACTGAAACTTTGGACGGTCAAACATTTCATTGTAATCCTTTAAAGTCGGTGTATCCAATCATGATATAATTCAGAAATGTTATATGATATGGAAATATGGTGACAACAAAAAAAACACATCACTGACATGGATTAGTTATATTTTTTCAGTGATTTGTTAAAATTAGTCGGAATAATATTTAGAATTTAGAATTGCGCAAACGTTGAATACCTTTTCGAATATTTGCGTTATTCAATGAATGAGTATTGATGTTCTTACTAATGCGTCAAATAATTGCATTCGCTACTCTCATGAAGTGCAAATTTACCAATCATTTCATGGTTTTTCCTGCAATTTATGGTATTTGTGCAGTCGAAAGATGCAATTGTAAAATTTAATGGAGAAGAATTTGCAAGTGTTTCAACTGAATGAATGATAATGGTAGTTAAGCTGCACGAGCAAATTAATCAGCGATTCAACTATTGATGAAAACAAGATTACATTCTAGTAGTGGGTAAATTTTAAATTTTCGTTAATTTAATTTAAGAAAAGAATTCACACTGATTGCGTTTAATTTATATTGAAAATTGTGCTGAAAGAATGTGAAATTGGTGATTAAAATCACAGAGCCTTGTGTAATATCGTACAACGAGCTGTTTGAATTCGTTTAAACCCAATTAAAATTGTATACATTAAGGTCAAAGATTAATAACAATTATGATGATATCTCTCACAAAGCTTACAATACACTACAGTGAATTTTTCTTTTTTATAAATTGTTAAAGTGAATTACACTGCTCTTTACGCTATGATCTTACCTGTCTATCTTATCGAACCATGGCGATATTTTTCAGCGTTACATTCAATATAATTCCATCAATTCAATTTTAATTCCATTAAATATATGAATGATCTTAATCTTCGAGACACATCCTCTTTGTTTTTTTCATAATTTCTTCGGGAATTTTAAAATTTAAGACCAATCTTTTTTTTTTCAAAATCAATGTATTAGAAGAGAAAACTGACAAATTTTTCTGTTTCTCTCTTTATTTCAACTAATTAACTAAATGTTGTTTCTTTTACGTGATGTTACTGACAAAAATAATTATGCAAATGAAAAAAATGTTATCAATGCAACAGTTATTATTTTAATATTTTAATCACTTAGTTGCAATTTATCATTTGTAACGATAACGATTATTTTCTATATTATTCAGTCAGAAATTTCGAATTAATATTCTGCTCATATTGGTTTGCTGGTAATAAAATTTACTTCAAAAAAATGGTTAAAGAGTAGGAGGAGGGCTTGAATTTAAGTCAGATTTTAGAGGAACTCGGAAATAAATTGCGTGCTATAAATAATTTAGAGTGAACGATCATAACCTTATAAATTTTATTTACATTAAAAAGTAGTTGTTAAATACTGTATAATGATTAAGAGAAATACATGAATTAATATGGTCATTAATGAAATAATGAATCATGCAAGGATTAAGCTAAAATTTTGTGCAATTTCTTAACTTCTGATACATGAATATGCAAGACAAAATGCGAAAATTCACAAATGTGTTTGCTGTGTAGGATCAGTTCACTTTTAAAATTATAGCTATTTATTAATAATGTAATCATTTAATTCAATAGAAAATTTCTGTTCGGTTTTTAGTATCGATTGTTTATTTGTGTTTTAATAAATTGAAGAAGCGCAAAAGGCTATGAGGTTCATTCATGTGAGAAATAACAAAGTTCAGCTCTTATAAATCTGTTATGTTTTATATTTCAGGCTATTTCTTTATCATCATTGTAATGATATGACAAAATATAATTAATGAACAATTGTTAAATTACGTCCATAATTAATTTATAAAAACTTCTCATATTTTAGTAGGAATTTTTCGCATTATTCAAAGCGCTATTTGCAAAAATTAATTTCTTTAATTTTCATTAATTTTTGTTTTATTAATAATTATTGATGTATGTTAGGATTTTATGAGTTTAAAAAAACATAAATTTCGCACTTCTAATAGTATAATCGATAATTCAAAAACCATAAAAAAAAAGATTTTAAATTTCAATTTCAAAAGTTCAAATAAAACATACATATTTTGGAATTTTGGATGAGATTAGAGGGAATTTTGCAGTTGCATTTAATGAAAAGAAGAAATCTTGTTTTATAGTTAAATTTTAGAATATTCAATGGTATTTTATAAGATTGCAAAATCAAGACAATAAATGTGTTGCTAAGCCTCTACAATTATCGTATGTTTATTAGCTGGATTAAATGTTGAAGCCAATTTTGGTGATAAGGTTGCTTATGGTGAAATCAGTTGTTATCAGAATATCAGAGTTTTATAATTGTATTTAATGAAAAGAAGAAATTTTGTTTTACAAATTAAAATATAGAATACTCAGTGGTGTTTGAAATATTTTCAATAATAATTAGTTTCATACCTCTAATTATTAGAAATATTTCAAAAAGTCCGAAGATATTTTACGTATTTTAGGATATCATATCCCATGCTATCTCATTTATTATAATACTTTCTTGTAATTAACAAATAATTCTAATTATCTTTAATCAATTATTTCCTTTATCTTTTTTCTCAATTTTCCCCATTTTTTAATTATTTCTCAATTCTTCTATGTGTTGTAATATATATATGAAATTTTTTATTATAAAAAAAAGAATGAAAATAAACAAATTTTTTCTAATAAATCTTTTATTAATTGATTATAATGAAATGATTGGTGGCACTGAATGAATGATTTAATAAAATGGGTCGTTCTGTTTATCAATCACACCAAAACGAATTAGTTAGTTGAGGTGAATGGGAAGGATAAATTGACGAATCGGTCGGCGCAACTATTAAAAATTATATTAATTGCCTATTAAATATCAACGATGAAATGATCTTTTTCACTACTCT